AGAATCAATGCAGGAGATCAAAGTGCACTATCTACAACTTTTTTTAATCATTCTTGGATATTTTATCTCCAACTGTGTTGTTTCCCCTACTCTTAATCCCTACTGCTATTATCCAAGTATAGATATTTATTCATTTTCCATTAGTTTCCCTGCCTGTACATTTGCTCCTCTTCCTTTCATTGTCCACAGCATTTTCAGATTTGCCCTTCTGAGTCCAACATGGTACCATCTTGACCCCTCTCCCCACTTCCACTTATCAGCCTTGAAAATGTCCAGTCCACTTGGCATGGTATTCAGTGCTCCTCATGACCTACCCCTAGTCAGCTTTCTGACCTCATACCTGGCCCTGCTCTTGCCAAGCCAAACCACTCCCTCCATGACCTTGATCAGATACTTCTGGCATCTAAAAAAGTCTTCTTTTCCCTCTCCACCATTTAAAATACTTATACATTCTTCTATATCCAGCTTAGATGCTTTATCTATCAAACATACCTGGAGATTTGCTGAAAAAAAATTTTTCATATGAAATGGAAGCAAACGGTTTGTTTGATTTCATCATCTTCATTATCAAGTATTTATTGAGTATGTACTACACTATTAAGGAATCAAAGAGTCATTTTTAGCACCTGACATAATTCCTAGTACATAGTACCCAATTAACATTTGTTAGATATAAACAGAACGTATAAATAATTATATGAGAACTTATGGTAAGTATCAATGAAACAACAGGATGAACATCCAGCTTCATGGAGGAAGGTGATAGTAGTTTGATTATGTTGTATTTGAGATACTGATTGGACATCCAACAAGACATACTCTTCTTTTTTTTAGATTAGTAACAACTTAATGTGTGTACTTGAAGAGATAGAAAGTAGACAAAAAAAAGAAAAGAAATATTAAGAGAGCAGATAAATGATAGATACAGGTATTCAAGAAAGTGATGAGGGGTTAAACATGACCAGAGGAGATGCAAGTCCTTTAGAAATGTGAGTTGAGAATCAAGTAGAATATCTAAAACACATCGGAAGGTATTTTAGTGATAGATGAAACTTTACAAGGCACATTAAGTAAGTTTATTGTTATCAATGTGTTAATAAAAGACAAGAAAAACTTTTTGTGCTCTCCATTAAAATAACATAACTTTCATATTAAATTTTGGAAATACCACTTACCCTGCCTCTCATTGCTTAAGAGATGGAGAAAATTAAAAAGCCGTTTATTGCTACCAGCTAGGATCTTTATGTTCCATGTGTAATAAAACAATTTCAACTCAGATGCTCAAAAAAATTAATTTAATACAGCAGTAGAAATGTACCTTTCCACACCATTCAGGAGTCATTTTCTTAGGCACCAAGTAGTGAGTCTTGCACTGGGAAAATCAGAGAATTATTGCAAACAAGACTATACTGGTCTCTGGCTCTGGCTCACTTCTATTCAATGACAACATGATTTAGAAAAGCAATCATGCCGTTCTCTCTCTCTAAGTCTTAAAAATCTTGGTATAATTTGCCTCTACAGTCCTGATTTGACACCTCAGCCTAGCTACCTAGGTACAGAGCTGGTACCACAGGTTTTCTACCAGGTGACAGGGACCTCTTCCCCAGCATCAGTGCTGTGACTTTCCTCATTCTCATTTGACTCACCCACCATTCACTGTCACTTAAATTCTCATAAAAGTCCAGGCCTCACTAATGAGATGGTGCAAATAGGACAGAGAAATTTCTTTATTAAATGATCTTCATTAAAGAAAGATCTTCAGAAGCCACTGACATGCAACTTGGACATACACTATGAGAATAATGGGTGGTATTTTATTGGAAAAAAAACCTCTCAGTAATCAGTGAGAGTTCAGCATTTCCTAACTGACTGTGTTGGGTCCTCTGCATGGAAAATCCCTACTCCTTGATCTGCAAGCACACATGACTCAGCAGGAAAAACAGGCACATAAATTGATGGTTGTGATTCTTCACCCTGGATGCTGTTATGCATGTCTGGAAAACAAGTTGGGGTACAGAGCAGCATGGCAACTGTGCTGGGGAGGTGGGAAGGCTTATCCTAAAATACTTCAAAGAGGAGATGTTTGGCAGTGTCTAGAAAAGTGACAGATACAAGGAGGAGGATGGCCATTTGTGGGTAGGCTTTGTTTTGTTTTGTTTAAGACAAGGAATATTCCAAGCACTTAGCTCTCCAATGGAGAAGGCTCTAAGTTTTAGCTGTGCTTTCCTCCTTTGGTTATTTCTACTCCAGTTCTTAGAATGCCATCCAGTTGGCCTCTTTGCCAGAGAAGGTGAAAGAGCCAGGCTGTGGTTCCCTATAATGTATTAGTCATGGTGGAACTAGCAAGATTCTGTCTATTTAGCTAATAATATGAAAAGAATGGAACCTGTTCTAAAATGCCAGTTACTATCACCACCAGGTAGCTCCTAAAACCCACTGTAAGTGTGCCCCATGCAAGCACCACTTAAGCATTACTGTCCGGGAACAACAAAATTTACCTTGCATCCAAAGGTCTGGAGTGTCAGATAATTCACCTTAATTGTCTTTGTGAAGTAAAATGGTAATTACATGTTGTAAAAGTCTCTGTTTGTTCCAAATTTTCATAGTAGGAGAAACTGGCTGACTTTTCATGAGTAATATAAAAAGAGTTAAATTCTCTGAGCACTTCATGGTACATTTTGCTTTTAATAGCATCACTAAAACTTTAAGAGGGACATTGTTGGAATAATTTAGGGCAGAATAATAAAGTAGTTAGTTTAAAGTAGTGATAAATAAAGTGAGATTACTGAATATTTCTTTGCTTTAATTATATGGGCTAAGCTAATGGTGAGGAAGCCATCAAGGATTCCAGTTACTCATTAATCTCAGCTAGTGAGCATCATTGATCTTTACACAAGAAGAACTCTTGGTACTTTCTAAACCAGTGAAAGATAAATGGTAAGGGAAAGGATTAAACAGTTTAAACAAAAAAAAATCTAATTAGCAGATAAGCATATAGGAAAAAATTATGATCCCTACTAATAAACACAGAAATACATATCAGAGATATAAGTTGCACTGATTAAATTATCCATCTTTTAAAAGTTATAATGTTAGTGCTTGTAAAATTATTGTGAAACTGGTGTGTGTATTTTCGAGACAATAAAATGGTATAAAACTTTTGAAAAGTAATCAAGAACCTAATAATGTGGTTTTTTATTTTGTGGAATAGATTTTTAAAAATTATAAAATAAGAAAAAGTAATTTATCAATATGTTCATTGCAACATTGTTTACAATACTGAAGCAATGGGAATAATCCAATATCTAACTGTTAAACAGTGGTTAAATTATATACTCATAGAAAATAACATCATATAACTCCAAAATAATAATTATGAAGACCCTATCAGAAATAGTAAAATAATAATGTAAGGGGAAAATGTAAGATACATAGTTATACATGTTCTGTGCATATAGAAAATGCTATCAAACACATAGAGCCAGTAGCACAGAGTAGGAAGTACACACAGTTGGCAACAAGACAGGCTTTACTTTCATTTTTGGTTCCCTCTTTGCAGACTATTGATCTCTGATGAGTTATCTAAGTTCTACATGTTTTGTTTTCTTATACATAAAATGGCGATACTCAGACTTACTTTATAGGGCAGCTAAAAGAATTAAGTTAGATAATTCTGTAAAGTCTGGGACAAGCCAATGGAATTATAGGTGAATTTGTGTCTCTTATTTTGATTTCCATTAATTTCTTGTTTTGCAGTAGAAATATATTTCCTATTTACTGTTAATCACCTAAGCTGTGCTTGGAAGTATGTACCTTGTAGTATTGACTATCTGGCCAACTGTAGTGATCTAAATAATTTTTATTTGGTTCCAAACATTTCAAATTACACACTGAAAAATCATATTAGTTTACTTATTTAATAAACATTTATGTCACTTTTATTACCATGTTACAGGTGCTGTTCAAAACAATTCATTGAATCATTATAACAGCTCCATGAGAAAGGTATTATATCCAAATCTTACAGATGAGCAACTGACATTCAGAGATTTTTAAGTAACTTACTCTACAAGATAAAATTACACAGTGAAGTATTTTTTATCATACATTTTAACACACAGGAAACCCACAATGCATTCTTTTTTTGCTGTTAGATTGTCATTGTGCATATCTCAGATAAAAGTATCCCTTTATTTCTAATTGAGACTGTGAGGCAAGTTCTTATAAACTTGAACAATTCTTATATTTGGAAGTAATATAATATGACAGTTAAGAATAATGGCTCTAGAGTCAGACAGTCTAGATGCCATTTCAATTACGGGTATTTACCAGACAACTATGGTGCATTTCTAAACCACTCTGTACTTATCTTTCTCATCTGTTCAGTGGGGCAGTACATACCTTGTAGGGTTGTGAGATATAAAAGGTATAAACACATAAACTTAGAAAAGTCACTTGGGCAATATAAGTGCTTAATAAATGTTAGATATTATAATTTTTGTTGCAACCATGTATCTGTAAAATCAATCTTTGCTTGTTACCATACAACCAAAACAAAATATAAAATTACATTAGATTCTAAGATTGATATGCAACTGAAAGTCCCATTTTTCAAGTTTTTGTGTTATCCAACCACTGAACTGTTATTAACTATACAAGTAAGTGTTACAAATTTAAACTAACAAATTTATACAAGTTAAATACTACCCCAATTTGCAAATTTGCTCTTTTTTAAATTTTGCTTAGAAAAAAAATGTTTTGCATTAAAAAATACTACATTGCATCATAATGAAATTTGTTTTTGTTGAAACCAAATTACATGGAAATAATTACTCCTTATTAGGTACAATGTTTTATTTGGGAGTGATTCTGCCTATCACCAAAAGAACAGTGATTTAATCTCTAATGTATTTCTTTCAGAACTGGTTCTTTTATTGACAATAGGACTGATTTGAATGTGTGAAGCATTCATGGTCACGTTTCTTTTTTCTTTCTTGCAGTCATTCCCAACACAGCACTGCAACCCGCCAGCCTTCGGTGACTCTCCAAAGGGCCATCTCACTGGAAGGGTAAGATAAGAACACAGCAAAGCCTTCTCTTGAAGTAAACTATGCAGCCTCATCACTTCCATTCTTGCTTCCTCCCCCTCAGCAAATATCTATGAATCTTATGTTATATTCCAAACACTGTGCTATATAATACTTTTAACAAGTCGAGGTCTCTTCTTTTCCTCTAGAGGGCTCATTCTTTAGTAGGAGTGACAGAAATACAAACACACACTTGTATTCAGCATGAGCATCTCACAGAAGATACATGTGAGGGATTTATGAAGGATTCAGGAAGAATATCTGGCAGAGAATGAGTATCAGAGAGGGAGGGAGGAGCAGGTTAGTATGGTCTGAGAGAAGATAAAACTCTTAAGCTGGAAACTGAAGCATCTATAGATATTTGCTTCACAGACATTAGAAAGAAGAGAACTCTGAGCATAAGAAGTAACATGTGCATAAACATGGCCACATCCTAACCAAGGATATAACAGACCTATACTTGGAAAATTATGATGCTGAATAAAGAAACTGAAGAAGATACAAATCAGTGGAAGCACATACTGTGTTCATGGGTAGGAAAAATGAACATCATTAAAATGTCCATACTCTCCAAAGCAACCTATAGAGTCAACAGAATTCCTGTCAAGATTCTGGTAATGTATTTCGTGGAACTAGAACAAATATTTCAAAAATTTATTTGGAACCACAAAAGGCCCTGCAGAGCAACAGCAATCCTGAGAAAGAAGTTGGAGGAATCACTCTACCTAACATCAAACTGTACTATAAGGCCGTAGTAATCAAAGCAGCATGGTACAGGCATAAAAACAGACACATAGGTCAATGGAACAGAATAGAGAGCCTGGAAATATACCCACACCTTTATAGCCAATTAATATTTGACAGAGTAAGCAAGTACATACAATGGGCTAAATGTAGTTTTTTTCAATAAATGATGTTGGGAAAATTGGACATATACATCCAGAAAAAATAAAACTGGGCCACCTTCTTATACCACACACAAGAATAAATTCAAAGTGGATCAAAGATTTAAATGCTAGACCTGAAAGCATAAAAATCCTAGAAGAAAACATAGGCAACAAAATCTTGGACATTGCTCATAGCAATATTTTATCAGATAGATCTCCCCAGGCAAGAGAAACAAAAGAAAAAAATAAACAAATGGGACTTTATCAAACTAAAAAGTTTTGCAGAGCAAAGGAAAACATCAACAAAATATAAAGACAACCCACAGAAAGGGAGAACATATTCACTGATACATCTGATGAGAGGTTAAAATTTAAAATTTATAAAGTACTTGCAAAATTCCACAATAAGAAATAAAAAAATCTAATGAAAAATGGGCAAAGGACCTGAATAGACAGTTCTCCAAAGAGGATATGTGGATAGCCAATAGACATATGAAAAGATGTTCAATATCACTAATCATCAGATAAATGCAAATTAAAATCATAATGAGATATCATCTCAAACCTGCCAGAAGGGCTATCATCAATAAATCAACAAAAAAGTGCTGGCATGAATCTGGAGAAAGGGGAATCCTTTTGAACTGTTGGTGGGAATGCAAATTGGCACAGCCACTATGGATAGCAGTATGGAGATTACTCAAAAAATTTAAAATACATCTGCCTTTTGACCCAGAAATCCCACTTCTAGGAATATATCCAAAGGAACCCAAAACACTAATTCAAAAGAACATAAGCACCCGTATGTTCATTGCAGCATTATTTACAATTTCCAAGCTATGGAAGTAGCCCAGGTAAAGTGACTACGTGATATTTACACAATGGAATACCACTGAGCCATAAAAAACAAAAGTATTTCACTCTTTACAACAGTATGAGTGGACCTGGAGAGCATTATGGATGAAGGAGTGCTAAGTGAAATAAAACAGAGAAAAATTAATGACATATGATTTCCCTCATATGTGGAATCTGATGAACAAACTGAATTAGCAGGCAAAATAGAGACAGACTCATAGAGAGCAGGATGACAGCTAAAGAGTGGGGATGAGGTTAAGGGATGGAAGGATTGAGCAAAAAGGAAAAAGGACTCATAGGCATGGACAACACTATAGTGATTGTGATGGGGAGGAGGAGTATCAAAAGGCTAAATGATAACGGAAAAAACACAATAAAGAAAGACCATTGAGTGAGTCAGTACCAAGGCATAGGGTGTATGAGGCAATGGAGACAAGAATGGAGATATTGGCACGACAGGCTTACATGTAGAGGACTTAGTATTTTGTATTTCTAAATTTCCCAATCAGATAAAAGCTGGAGAGGCTGGGAGTAAGTGGCTAATATTTCTCCCACTTGCCTTATAATTGAAATCAGTTTCATTGGGAACATTTAAGTAGTTAATATATAAAAATTATTTTATTTTTCCTATATCTGTTACCAGCTATGTTTTGCTTAAACCTATTTCCCAATTAGTCTCCCAATTAGGCATTTCATTGAGAATCTCCAACTTTTTTATTTATTAGTTCTTTCCTAAAATCTTATGTTTTATTCAGACCTCAGTCCCCCCTTCCAGCATAATTATGTTTTGGGTTTTACCAAAGTATTCCAGAGTTGATGGAAGTGTCGCCTACTCTCTCTGTGTGTCTCTCATACCACCATCTAGATCAGAAATTTTCAACCTTTTTCATCTCATGGCACACAAAAACTAATTATTAAAATTCTGTGGTATACCAAAAATATATATTTTATCTATCTGACAAAAAAAGATATAATTTTGATTCATTCACACTGGACTGTTGTGTTGGCTGTTGTCATTTTTTATTTGACAATTTAAGGAAAAGAGGTCAGTGCCCCTGACTAAACAGTCAGGTCTTGCATGTTTTAAAAGTTCCTGCAGCACACTGGTTGAAAAAGGCTGCTCTAAATCTTTCTTTTTCTCAGATCTATCTTTTGGTAATATTGGAGCAAAAAGAAGGAAAAGAGAAATGGCTTTCCTTACCATTCTACTGTGGCTGTCTACTTTGCGTTTGTTGTCTCCGGTGATGTAGTCTGGGTAGGTGGAGAACCAGACATGCACTGGTGCTGAGATCCAAATAACTCCTCCAACTCTGTGGTGCCCTGGGCAACTCAGCTGCCTCTTCCACAAAACCCTGGAGGTGCGCTGTAGTCTGCTGATGTGCTCATTTTTTAATCCAAGCTTCAGCAGTCTTTCACAAACCTATAATTTTCCTTTCTCATCTGTCCCCAGCAGCTTCAGGTGTAAGGCTTGCAAGCATGAGCAGCGTCCCTCTCCCCCAGGTGGAACTTACCAGAGGTCGTTCTTGCCTCCTTTCTCCCTGGGGTTCTTTTCCAACTTCAGTAGTAACAGGGCAAGTCAGTAGGCTCCACAGCTAAGTGGACATCCACCTGGGAGGGACATGCTAGTTTTTCCTTCCTGGAACAGCGTAACTTTTATAAACACTTTTCTGAGAGTACTCCTTTTTTGCCTTCAGGCAGAGAAACCCACTGAATTTTCCCAAACCCATGGGAAGGCAAATGAAAGGAATATAGCCTATCCACGAACACTGAACTCCCTGCAAAAGGACCCTGGCTTCTGCTGCTAGTTCCCTTCTTCTTGTTCTGATGGTAAAGAACATCAGACCACTGAATTCCTCTAGTAAAAAAAGGAAACAAACAGACAAAAACAGAGAGGTGAAGGTTATAGGCTAAATGCAGAGTGGGGCAAAAGTAGGTTTACAGTTGTTTACCTGGAAAATAACACAATAGTTAATAAATGATAACAAGAATAACTGTGCAAGGACAACAGTGTAGAGATTGTGGGGATGGGGGGCGGGCTGGGTGGAGGAGCACAAAGGGGGAAAAGTTGGGACGACTGTAATAGCATGAACAATACAATATTTTAAATGAAAAATAATAAATTTTGTTTCATATACTCAAAGCTGTGAACCTACTTTTACCCCCACCCTATATAATTTAGGTCTGGAGAAGTAACTTTTTTCTCAACAGGACACTATCTCCATTGCAACATTTGTTCTATTCCATCTTTAAAAAACACACAGACAAGAAGTTCCCAATCAAGCCTTCATAGAGGTTGGTTCTGCAATAATATACAGGTGGTCTAGATCATGGATCCCAACTAGACTCCTTGCTCAGGACTTACTAGCTGCATGACAGCAAGTTACTTGGTTTCTTTGTGCCTCAGTTTCCTCATTTCTAAAATGGAGATACTAAGAATATTTCTTAAAGGGTTATTTTTCAAGAATTAAATTCACATGCATTATTTTTATAATGATACTAACATTATATGTGTTTTTGCTATAGTAACTGTTCCAGTTGTTGTTATACATAATATATACTTAATTTTTCAGGTGGGAGTTTCTCATGTATATTAAATAATAGTTTGTTAAAACAGTCAGGGATTGGTAACTTCACTATACTTTGGAGAGGCATATTCATATATACAGAACTAATCATCATTTGTGGAAGCCATTCAAATCATTGTGAGTCTGCTTCATTGCCTTGTTATAGTTATATAAAATATTTTAATTACCAGAATTATGCTTAAGTGCTTATTAAACACATTAAAGAATAATCTAGGCATTTTCTATATACTGGCTCATCCTCAGCTCCAAAAGAAAGAATTTAGGACCAGAATAGAAAATGCTCTTACATTTCTCGTATATATGTCTTAGTAAGTTCAAGACACAGAGGCCATTTAGACACATGAGAGGAAATTGTCTTCACAGCCTGTGGACATTCTACAGTTCGGCTTGAGAGCCAGTCAGCACAGCCCCTGCAGTGCAAATCGGTGCATACCACATCCCTCGATTTCTTTTTTTTTTTTGGAAAGTGTCATGGTTCAGAAAAACTATTTCACAATGCTCCACTTATGGTCACATCATCCAAAGTACTGTGATCAGTTTTGAACCTGAAGGTTAAATCATATATATGTAAACAGCCTAGAAAAGGACATTCAGAGTTAACAAAGGGATGGGCAGCATTCTATCAAGAACAGATTGACAGTGTTAAGATTCTATATTG